TTTATAAAGTGAGTAATTTTAATTTATTTATCTTGATAAAAGTAAAATATAATTATAAAACTATTGATAAAATTAAATCATAAATTAAAAAAATATTAAAGCACAATACAAACAGTGGAATATTATATGTCGTAGATTTACAGTATATCTTATTATCAAATGACAATCAAGTAATTTTTACCAATATAGGCGAATTATTTATTTTACAGAAAACTATAAAATATTGATGACATCAGAAAATATCTTTTAAAGACATTGTGGGATGAATAATATAAAGATTAAATTTAAATATCATTTTTACTTAAAATAAATAGATGGCGTTAAATAATTGAATGCAAATTGTTGCTATATTTAATAACAAGAGCATTGATTAGTAAAATTTGTTAAATTATTAACTGTATTATATTCTCTAACTGTCAAATATGTCTGTAAAAGTGGAATTTTACCTAGTATTTTATAACTAATTCTATATAATAGAGTAAAATCAACTATATGTCTACTTACTTTTATAAATAAATTTCTTATAATTGTTTGGAATAAATTATTACCATGCTTTTATATTAAGGTATATACAATACAAGTAATTTATTATATTTTTATTTTATATAAACTAATAAAAATATATTCCATATTTGTTCCTGGTTTATTTTTTTTATTAAAATTTGTAAAAATATTTTATGACTTATAGACTAAAGTAACCCGGCCGAAGGCAGGGGAAAAGCGGGCCGAAGACCCGCCCAAAAGGGCGTCTGGTGGCTTCGCCCCCAGTAATTTTTTAATTCCCCCCCCTTATGAAAATCCTGGCTACGCCTATGAATATAGATAAAATATAGCATGACTTGACCCTTCTCTTTTCCTAATTCTTCAGTCCTATGTGAATGATAGATCAGTTCCGATTTTATCTCAGATTTTAAATTCAAAGTTTAGAAAGACAAATGCTTAATAACATAACCAATAATATGCTAAAAAAATTTTATTTTTCTACATAATTGAGGTACACAATTAACTTATTATTTTTTATCTTTTAAGGAAAGTGAGAAGCCAATCATTTGAAATCTCAATAAAAGTAAGTTATAAATTGTCTTAGTAATTGTTTCAGAGGTACAAAGAAAAAGTTTGACCTAAAAGGCAAACTAATTACCAGGAGTAAAATTTTTAAAATTTATTTGACGCAATCAATAGACTTTTTATATAAGTTATAAATTTTTTATTTAATCTTTTTTTAAATCTTTTTTTTAAAAAAACATATAATCCCTTTTTCTTAAAAAAAATAAATAAATACTTTGAACTTCTTCCATGAGTTTTCGTCTAATTTGCTTTAAACCACACCGACCGATTCTTTATAAGAATTATAATATTCTTCTTTTTGATCCTTAACATTTTAATTGCATAAAAAAAACTCCTGTTTATATATAAAAATATATTAACCATGCTCCATGATCCCATATATAACAATCACTTTTGACATTTTTTTCGCAGATCCCCAAAATAATATTTATAATTTATGTGAAGTTTTAAAAAATCAACTTTACTCGTCATTCCTCTTTTTTAAAATATTATTTAATGTAAAAATAATAATAATTTTGATTAGAGCTCCAGCCATGTGTTGGCAAATTTTTAGCAACCTGCTTGCTATAAAACCCCAGATTAATTTACTTAATCGCTTGAATTTTTTTTCGTAAATAGCATTTCATAGCTCATTTTATTTTTGTAGATTAAAAATTTTTACACTTTTTTAAAAAAAAATTAATATATAATATTCAAAAAAAATTTGGATGTTTTTTGAGTTTGTGTGTTCTTGGCTATTCTATGATAATTTGGCCAATATTCCAGCGAGATCAGTGTCGCTATGACAAATCTCGTGCCCTAGGTAAAAAAAAGGCATGCCCTCCCTATGAAAAAAACAACAAAAATGTCATTTTCATCTGTTTTTAAAAATTAGATTTCGGTAATATAAAAAAAGATTATATATTGATATTTTCATATCTCTTAAAATTTGCATCTTCAATAGAAATTATTGTAAATGTTGATAACCACTCCTGGCTTATAAACAATCTCAAATAACTTAAGATTAGTTTTAATTCAGATAAACATTTTTCATATGCGACTACTGAAACAGGGATGGTAGATATTATCTGATTTAAATTCACTTGAAGATCATGCGTGCTACAAATTTAAGAACTTTCATTTATAAAAATAGGTCACTACCTTTTAAATCTTTGGACGAACTTTGGAAAAAGAATTGTGAAGAGTGGCCCTTAATTTCTCAAGAAAATTAAGTTGGCCTTTGATCAATGGACGAAGAGAACAGATTGAACTTTTGTTATTTTTATAATTCTATAATTTTTTGAAATAAATTTCAAAGCATGCTTGTGTTTCGAGTTATAATTAATGTTAAGATATAATTTTAAAAAATAGGTAGGCATCAAGCTATAATCCAACATAAAGGGGACCTTCAAATTAAATTAATTGAGATTAAGTTCTATATATATCAGATACCTGCAGAAGTACTATTTGCATGGCCCCGATTTTTAAAAAAATATAATACACTTATTTTTAATTTTTATAGCAAATGGTGGTTGCCACCCGAGTATTTTTGAAAATATTTTTTAGCCCAGCCTGGGTATATGTAAAAAAATTAAAATAAGGCCCTCGTATTCCTGAGCTGGGCCTACAGGTCTCTGATAAATATTCTTAAATAAAATACCAAATTTCATTTTAAAAAACCGGTAACGTTTTTTAGAGTTATGAAGATTTTCCTTGGTGTGAAACGTGCGTTTTGCCGAAAAAAAATGAAGCTATTATGATCTGATAAAGAAGCTCTCAAATAATCAGCTGAAAAATCATTGCAATATATCATTTAAACATTGAGCTGCATCTCTTATTTTCGATTTCGCTTTATCATTCATAAATACAACCAACACTATTTTTAATGATAAAATTTTTTTTTACCTCAGGCCCCAGGCTGCAAAATACTAAAAATTCTTTACAAACCTTGACCGGGCTTGTAAATGGGTTAATTATGCAGGTTTCTGAAAAAGATATTATTTTATCATAATCAATATGCTGTATCATAGCTACATGCTGTGAATTTTTACCTTATCTAATAATACTGTGATTTTTAATCCCACAAATTAAAAACTTTAAAAAAACTCTTACCAAAAAGCAAAACGCCTGTCATTTTGCCCCAGTTTCCCGTATTCATTCGAATGGAGGGTTCACAGATTAGTAAGAAAAGCATTTATCTAAATAACAATTTTATCACGAAGAAATTAAATAATATTCGTTTTTTTTAAATCGTAAATGTGTGTGATTCATAAAATTGTCAATTAACGAGTGCAACGTTCGGTAAAGTAATCTAATATTACATGATAAAATAATATTTTATTTATCTTAAAACATATTATTTAATATTATAATTAATATTTCGAGATATGTGAAAGTGGAATAAATATTCATATAGAACACTTAACTTTTCCTTTCATAAAACCTTTTTTTATACATAATATTAAAATTGGAGATATGTTTTGTAGTATACTGTATACTTACAAATTATATTATTATTATAATATATAATATAATAGTGAAAGAAACACCCTTCATAAAATTTTCAATTGAGAGATGTTACATAATATAGAGAGACGTTCAATATAATTGAGAATTATAAATATATGTTTTTTTAAATAGGATTTTGGTGGGAAGAGAATAAGGGAGACTGGAATTATGTCTTAAAAGGCTAACTTTACGAAAATTAAAAATACTTTGTTATTCTTATTAAAAAAATCTCATTTTGGTTCTTCATTAGTTTTATTAAAGCAGGTGAGACGGGTGAGCCTATGCATCGGGCTGTGGCGGGAATTTCAAATTATAAAAATGATATTATTGTTTATAAATGTTAAAATTGGAGTGTTATATGGCTCATTTCAATCATAACCCAACATTATAATTGAAAATCATATTTTAAAGTAATTTTGATATCTCCTTTGTTCGGGTAAATTGATATCTATTTGAAAAGGTATTAATTTTTTTTTTCATTAAGATAATTTTTTAAGTAGTAAAAATAACATTTGTTTTTATTTTAGAAAAATTATTTCTTTTTATCTATTTTTCCCTATAGATAATAAAGATTATAAAAAAAATATATATTATATTGATTCTCAAAATTTTGACCAGATAAACAAGGGCGCTCAGTGCTCAATACTTCACTGTGCATAACATTCAGCTGAATTTAATAAATAAAAATTTTAAATGGGAGAATTAATTAAAAATATTTAAGGATTGACCTTATTTTCAAAATAATTTATTAGATCACCTTCACAAGAATCTTTATTCAGATCCTCATCAAATTTTTTATTTAATCTTTATTAGAATTTAATTTGAATTCATATTTCTGCCTTGATATGTTTTTTTTAAGATTTGAGCTGCTGGACATCGAGGTTCAATATTTGAATTAGGGCACAATTTCTACTTACAAAGAATAAATTATATATAAAATTTTAAAAAAATATTATTTTCAGATTTTTTAAGTAAAAATTTTAAGAAACGTGTACCCTTCTGTGATATCGTTACACAAAAAAAAATAAACGCATTACTTTTCGAATGGCGTTCCTTTTCCTCATTTTTTTTCAGTTAATGTTTTATTTTTATAACTTTAATTGTTTTTTTAAATTTAAATATATTATTTTACAGGAAATGTATTCCAGCGTATTTAGAAAACCTGCTCTGATTTTTAAAAATTTTACCAGAGCTTAATATAATTTATTATTCGTTTTTCCATATATTTTTTATAAAAATTATAAATGACCCAATAGTTAATAGCAAAATTTTCTGAAATTCTATGGATAGATTTTCTAAACATACTGAAATAGATTTCTGAATTTTAAAAAAAACGCCCCCTAAAAATAATTTTAAAATGAAAAGATAACACATTGATGCTAAAATCTATACATATTTCGAAAACATACATTTACATTATTTTTCTATTTGTTTTTATTTTGAAGAAAGTAAATAACCCATATCGATAAAAAAACAAGCTAAACATCTCATCTTAATGTTAGGGTAATGTGTACGCCACGACCAATTTATATTGGATGAATAGTGAGGATCCTACCACATCTCCAGTCAAATCAATCGAAATAGAAAGCGATGATCAGAAAAAATCAAAATGTAAATATAATTGCAGAATCCTGAATATACTTATATTTTAATTTTTGAAGCCAACTTGACTTCCAGGGGTGTGGGGGGGGGGGGAGTTATCAATTATCTCCTTTAGAAATGATTGTATATTTATCATTTCCAAAAAAGTAAATGTAAAGAGTATCCTAATTCATGAACTTCTATTTGGGGGGGGGGGGTTAAACGTGAGAGCCATAATTGTTAAAATTGTAAACAAAGTATTACTGGAGATGGTCATTGGAATAAAATGAAGGGGGGCAGGTTTACTGAATTTTAAAGGTGATAGGGAGTATTTTCCATTTTTTGCTATAAATATTTTTATTTGATAGAGAGGGGGATGGTGATATAGTCATTGTCTTAGGGCGTTGTAGAAATGTTTGACCTAATCATAACATTTTTTAAATTAAAAATATATAGAATTACACTATGATTTTTTAATACATATATTAAAAATGATATCACAATATTAATATAAAACAAATCTTATTTTAATTTAAATGTTGTTGGGGGAAAGGTGGGGGGGGGGATATTTCTATATTATTATTTCAGGGTGGGGGGGGGGGGTATTTCTATATTATTATTTTACAACAATAAGTTTAGTTTGTGTTTAGAAAATTATATATTTATTTAAAGCTAACGGAGGAGGCATCAATCAATTAGGAGGAATTTTTGTAAACGGAAGACCTCTACCCGATTTAGTGCGCCAAAAAATAGTCGAATTTGCTCACCAAGGCGTTCGACCATGTGATATATCCAGAAAACTCAAAGTATCTCATGGGTGCGTTAGTAAAATACTGGGAAGGTATATCTTCTTTCATTATTTATTGTGTATCATATCTATTGAAGACTCAATTTTTAAAATTGGCTAACCCTTTATTTTAGCCAAAAATACCAATGGATTTTGCTCTTAGGTGGCAGAAGGGTTTGGACATCTATTAATTGAATCTCAAGGCTTGATTTTATTTTTTGGCTAAAATATTATGTTAGCTGCTTTTAAATATCGATACTAATCGTCAAGGATTGCCAGATGTCATTCTCTCCTGAAGATTTTTGGTACCTCGTTTTACCTATCTCATGTTTTCTTACACTATAAAAAAATCATACTTTCTAATATGTCAACTCTAATCATCTTCATTAATATTTTAAAATTATTCTACCATAGATCATCAATTTTTTTTTATCAACAGCATAAGGTAATTATAGATCATCCCTAAATTGTTGAATGCTTCATTTGAATATATCCTTACTTTAAAAAAAAATCTAAAATAAATTTACAGCCCTACAGAAAAAAAGATAAATTATATTTAAAAAAAAAATTTGAAAGCCCAAAATAAACTGATTAGATGGTTTCGATGTCTCTAATTAAACTAAAAATAAAAGAGTTCCCTACATCCGAACCCGGGTGCAGCAATAATTACCAATGCTTATTTAAATCATTGAGGATAATAATAAGAAATGGTATCCTATTCCTTATAATATTGTGAGCCTAATTTATTCAAAAAAATAAAGAATAATTATATTTATTTTCACAAGCTCATGGAAATGCAATGTTTTTTTTATTAAATTGCAAATTTTTAAATATATATAAATTTCTATATTTTCTTAAAAATATTTTTTTATACTCAATTTGATAAGGATTATAAATATGTAAATATATATTTATTTATAAAAGATCTCAATAAAGAAAGATCTAATACAAGATTTCTTTAAAAACTGAAAGATTCTATCAACAATATAATTTTTTAATATTTTTTTTTACACTTTCTGGCCAATTATTTTTTTGAACGAAATTTTTTTTTAAAGTTTCTATATTACCCAGTTAATCTTGAAAAAATTTTTTTATATAAAAAATCTCTACAAAAGAACATCTAAATTATTAATTTAAAATATAAGAAGTTACTATAATTATTTTAATTTGTTCTTATTTAAATAAAAAATTCAATATTTTGATAAGAAAATTAGTTCTCACAGTTTATTTAACAATATTATTTCTGATAAAATATTATTTAAATTAAATAGACAAACATTATAAGAAAATTTTTGATTATAATGTATTAAAATTAGAATAAAATGTACGAATATTAAATATTGATAACATTATTATATTTAATAAAATATAATTTTAGTCAATCCAATTTCACAGTTTACAATAATTTATTTTATTCATAAATTTCTCAGAAAAACGGATGTTCAACGTAATAAAATGAATGTGTTCAATTAATAACTTTTTCCGAAAGATACTCCGGACGTATATTATAAAACATTTATACAAAAAAAAATCGTGATTTAATCAAAAAATAATAAAATGATTTAAAAATTTTTATATAAAAAAAAGATTTTTGCCATTCCTATCTTAAATTAAACCCACCCCATAGTCCTTTCTTCTCCCAAAATGAATAGAATATCCTTATAAACAATATTTTTTGAAAAGTAAGTATAAGTTAATGATTTTTTAAAAAAATTCTTAGATATTACGAGACCGGTTCAATCCGCCCTGGCGTTATAGGTGGGAGCAAACCCAAAGTTGCGACGCCTAAGGTGGTGGACGCTATAACCAATTATAAACTACATAACCCTACTATGTTCGCTTGGGAGATAAGAGACAAACTTTTAATAGAGGGCATATGTGATCAAGACACTATACCTAGTGTCAGTTCTATAAATCGGTACAAAAATTTTTTTGTTCAATCTTATATATCATTTATTAGCTCTTTTTTCCATACTTGAAATGTTCATTTTCAAATGGATATCTTTGCAAAAGGATACAATGTCCGACTCGGCACATGGGCTGGACCGGGTAACTTCTGAATTATTTCTATTTTGGCCGAGCCGGAAGGGCCAGACAAAAAAATTATTTGTATAAATGAATTCTGATATTTGATATAAGTGATATTTCATAAAGTGTAGTTTAATTTAAGCACTCTCCATAAATATTTTTAACCTGGTATAGTAAAAAAATTGGATCAAAAAAATTTTCCATTTTTAGACCTCTAAAGCTCAGAAAGGATTCTAGGTTACTTTAAAAAAAGGTCAAAATTTTACTGTTTAAAAAAAATTGTTAGGAAGTTATATGGTTTCTAATATTTTTGGATTTTTTTAAAAATAGGAGAATTTTTAAGGTAAAGAGAAAAAAATTAACCGCTTATAGTTAATCTTTCATCTCGAAAAATGAAATATAAATGTTTATATTAACTTCAATTAAAAATCTTTTTCAGGGTACCCCTAGCAGGGTTTCGCATGGCAGTTCGTTTTAGTTTAAAATTTTCGAAATTTTTCAAGAAATTTATATCGGTTTCAAATTTATAATAGTTCTTTTCGGTTCGTTTTGGTTTTTATAAATTTGATTTTTTAAAAAAAATTAATCATAGACCACATATGTATATATATATATCTTAAAAAAAAATCTTTTTAATTTACATTATAATAATTCCTTATTTAATTTAACCATGAAAATTATTTCTTATCTAATTAACTAGTAATTTACCTAATCTCTCTTAAATCGAGTATATAAAGTAAAAATTATGATTTAATTGTATAAAAAATTTTAATTTGAATAGTAATCACGGATTTAAATTGCTCCCAAGGAAAATTAAAGTTTAAAATTTAGGTTAAATTAATTTTTTATAAAAAACCATTATGAACGATTTTATAATATTTATAACAGTTTGGTTTGCTCTTTTTATATTTTGTTATATGGTTTGGTTACAGTTCAAAAAATTATAGCGGTTCGTTCCGGTTTCCCATAGGTTTAGTTCGATTCGGAACCCTGGCCCCGAGAACTCCCCTTTTGAAATTTTCTTATAACTGCATATTTCGCGGTTCGATTTACCTCGACACCCTTGAATCTGATTTTTTTTAACAAAATATATACTTTAATTCTTTAAGGAATATATTTTCATCTTAAATGATAAATTTTAAATATAATACATTTTTATATTTTTTTTTAGTATTGTCCGAAACAACGCGGCAGAAAAGTTGTCGTTCGAAATCAAAAATTTTGATACAATTAAAAATGGAGCCATCTTAGATGAGCCGCACTTCAAGAACGATATGATAAGAAACCTAGAGACTGAAAATGTCAATATTTTAATTGATGAGGGATTCGCACTAAAAATTCCAAACAAAAAAATGAAATCAAAATTATGTTCTACCAAGGATACCCCTGTCTTTTCACTAACTCTCGCAAATAAAGAACAACCAACAACTAAAAAACCTTTAACTATAGATGATTTAATCTTGCAAAACGCTAAAAATGAAGATTTAGTGCGACAAATTTTATTGCAAAATGGACATAGGAATGTTACGCCACCATCCATTCCCAAAACTCTTGCAACTGAGAAAAATAGCTTCCTTTCCATTCCTCCTTCTGGTTACTATTTTTATGGGTCTAAATGACTCTTCTTTTGATTTTTAAATGGTTATGTTTTTTTGGGCTGTGAATTAATAAAAATGAGTATTTTTATTAAAACTGCTGATTCCCAGTTTTTTGGTAAAAAATGTCTAGACTCTAGAAAAAATAATTTGGTTTTGAGCTAATTGATGTAATTTATCGATATAATCAATAATCTCAACTTGATATAATTTTGGTATACTATGAAAAAATTAAAAACCCCCAAATAAATAGATAAACTAGAAAATTACTTATTAACTGATTAAAAATTTAAAATACCTGCCAAATGTTTTTCTAATGCCCATTAAAACACTGCCTATTTTGATTTATTTTACTGCCCGAATAATTTGTTCACTTTTTTAAATTTTAAAGAAGTATTTATTTAAATTGATTAATTTGGGATTAATCTGAGTTTCTTTTTTTTAAAAAAAAATATTTATAGAAAAAAAAGAATAAAATAAATAATCACTCTTCTTTCAAATGATTTCTTTTTTTTTTCATTCATTTTTAAAAAATATTGATAGCACTTCTCCTTCCACCCAATAGAATCTGAAATTTTTAATCAAATGACCCTATTAATAAAAATGATTAAATTATATTAAAAACCATTTAAAATGTATCTTAATTCTAACCTATATCTCTGTAACTTTTAATCGATTCACTTTAAATATATTTCATCCAATTAAATTAAAAAATTTCCTTTAAGTTACAGATTTCTTCAGTTGTTCTATTATCCTATTTTTTATACTTTGTTTAAAAAAAAAGATGTCTACAAATCTCCTAATAAAATGTTGGTCAGTAACATAAACCTGAACAAGTTAAATATTTACAAAAATAGTGATTCAAAATCAACAGAGGAAACGAATAAAGGTTAAATTTAATCATTTATAAAATAAATGGGCAAAAAATGATATTTATTATAATATTTAGCAAACAACTTGAATAATAATTTCTTAGGAAATCATGTGATAGATCATCAAGTACCGAAAAATAACAACTTTGATTTATCATTAATTTTGATTCTAGCATAAGATTTTAAAAACCTTAAAAGACAATATTAAAACACTCGACCAAGCCTTGTGCATTAATTCAATCGACGATTGCAATGAGAAAATTAATATAAGCACATCGATTTCTATGTTCACAGATCGCAAAATATCACTCAAAACAGATTGGCCCAAAAATAAAATGTTGAAAAATGCCAAAAATTGTTCGGTTACATCCCTTGGAGGTATAATAGTGATTAATTTAATAAAAGTTCATACTATAATAACCATTGATCTTTTAATTATTTATAATAATTTTATAGATATATCATCACAGATTATATTACCTCCTTTCACCAAATATAATCATGCCTTCGATCAAAATCAACAAATGGAGTTACTCAATAAATTTATCAAAGAAAATATTGAATATACTCACGAAGATATATTAACATATAATATTTGTCCACCTTCTACCACTACTCAATCATCCTTGGATACTCAAATTTGCAATTCTAAAAATGAAACATCCTTCAAATATAATAAAATTGAGGATCCTGCTAAACTTAGTAATAGTTTGAAAGTTATTTCTCCCACACGAACAACCCTAGATGATATTCCAAACCACCAAACTTCAAAATGCGATAATGGAGCTAATACGAATGAAATATATATAACCAACGATCATTTACAGTCTTCCACCGTTTCTTCTCCAATTAATATAATTCAAAGTAATTCAGATTCCCCAGGTATTTCCGTGGATAAAAGCATTTCATTGGTCAATTTGCCTGCCATTGATCGTTATGAAGATCTATTTGTATACTCGAATGGTCGTGTAAACGCTTCAGACGAAGCAAAATTTTCATCTTCCCTCTATTTTAATTTGCTTCAAGGAAACCCAAATTTTATACTTTTATCCGATGACTTTGAATCCAAACATGATTCGCTAGAAAAAACTAAAAATTTAGAGTCCCTTTCCACTAACACGAAAGAAGATGAAGATGAGGATATTAATGACTCATATAAAATGGCAATGCATAAGCTCAATCAATATAGTCTAAATTATTCCCCGCAAACGTCAAGATATAGTAATGCTCCAAAGGAATTAGCACTATTAGACATTCCTCGAGATACAATTGAAACCTCTTTTAATACCTTACCTGATTTCGGATTATTTGCCGGTATGTGTATATCATTTCGTGATTTACTATTTATTTTATACAATTTTTTTTATATCAAGATTTATATAAATAGTTATTTAAAATTAAGGTTTATTCATTGGTTAAATTTGTTTATTTTTATAATTGCTACCTTTCAAAAAAGTATTGTCGCCCACCCCCCTTCCTCCAGCTGGAGCGCCCTGCCCTTACTTGCATTGATTTGTTAACCAATAAATAATAATGTAATTTATTTATTAAGTATTCACCTATTTTACAAAAAATTATATAATTAAGATATATCTGAATATACATCTAATTAATTTAATTATTATTAAATATTCTCGTAATACAGCTAGCGCGGATAGTTCGTACAAAATAAATGACGCCTATTTAGGTTACCCACCGCTCACAAAACACTTTTCGTGGGAAAATTGAATTAATACTAGCAAATTAAAGTTTGTATATAGTAGTATACAACAAAAATAATAATATTGTGCATTTATAAATTGTAAATAATAATTTTATTTTATAAAAAATAATATAATAGAATATAGCATTTTGCAAAATGGTTTTGGCCTCTTTATAATTATTTAAACTATATTCTAATAGTAATTTAAGTTTAACAATTTATTAATTCTCTAAAAAAAACCAAGGAATAGAAATGCAGAACTTTTATATTTTTATTTCATTCATTCTGTTTAGATTACGTATATGTCCAATACAAAAATTAAATTAGATATCCCAAATCATGTCAGTAGCGTTGCGGGGGTGGGGTTATAACGTTGCCCGACACGCCTTAAAATAATTTCTGCACGACTTTTTTTTCCTACTTTGGCACCTAAATTTCATATTTCGGCTTATCTTAACATGTTTAAATTTACTATTTAGCACTTTTTTTTCATTAGATTAACATTTAAAATACAAAACGCTATAAGGCCGTGGACTATTCTACCAGGGGGTAAGGCATATATACATTTTATGCATAAGCCTATCAAAGAATATTTGTTATTTTCTAGAAAAATTTATATGCTGTGTTAAATGTATATAGCATGAAAGTTAAATGGTTTAATTTAGTGCCTTGTTAATGTTTGTTTTGCCACGAATAAAACCACTCATTCTTGTATCAAACCTTTTAAGCCTATATTTATTTTAGGAAAAATCAAGTGATTAACTCACGGTCTATTAATTTATTTTATTACATCCAAATTGCAAAAAAATATATCGATTCCACAATATATTTCTTAAATATTTTAACTTTTCAAAAGGATTTTTTATTGTAAATATAATTTAGATTAGGTTAGGTATTACTGGTCATATTAAATTTATAGTCAATTACATCGGGGGCCATTTTAGAAACTTTTTAAAAAATATTTTAATCATTTATAAATGATATCCAAAAAACTCATCAAGAACCAATAAAAATACTGTATAGCACGAAACAACTATATGTATTTTTTTTATCATGACGGTAAACAGTAATCAATGAATTATATACTATAGGTATAATTAATTTTAATACGTCTAAAATAGTGTTGTATAACGGCCCGATTTGGATTAATATAAAATAAAAGCCCGATTAAAATTTAAGACAAAATAATATTTTATCAGCCTCAAGATTTGGCAAATAAAGGGCCAAACCTTTGTACTACCTAAAGCAAAATCTCCAGTTACACAAATCTAATCTAATATAATTTTTAGCTATTCTTGTGATATTTCTCACCTTTAAAAACGATCAACACTTGGTATTTCTCACTTTTAAAACCGTTCAACACTTAATTTAGCTGCTTAATTCAACCCCCCCCCCTTTTTTTTATCAATCAACACTTTAAATAGACTCCAACTATTTTTCTTATTCAACAAAAAAAATCTTACTTTTTCTTTAATTTTCTTCTACACTTTGTATTTTCAGTAAAATAATTCTTGATGACTATATATTTTTTTTTACTTTTTAATTTCTTTAAATTTCAATCCAAAGAAATATAATGATGAGAAAAAATAATTTTTCTTTTTTAACAAATTTAAAAAAAATAAATAATAATAAAACAATATTATATTTTTTCATCAAAAAAATAATATTAAAAAATCGATTATTTTAAAAAAACAACGCGTGATCTATAATTAATAATTAAAAAATAATAATATTGAAATCATTTATTTTAAAATGAAACATGTAATCTACAAATGATAATTAATAAATTACGATAATTCTAAGTTCGAATAATACTTTACAAAGGCCAATCTTCAGAATCTGAATTCACAATTCTTTCCTATCTATTGTCATTCCGGTTTCAGCCTTGACATAATAACCTTTTCTAATTTAACTTAGCCATTGCCGGCATCAAAAATAACATAGTTAACAAGAATTTATATTTAATTATAAACGATCTTCAAATTTCTTATACATTTTGAGTATTTTGATGTTTCAATTTAAGCTTCATGTTGACGATCTCTCTTTGCTATACGTAATCATTCAATAAACTTCAAACTTATTTCCATCAAAAATAGAGAGCTGAAAGTTGATTTAAATTTTTTTTAGTTTACATATAGTTATGATCTATATTAGAAAATAAGTTGTTTACATAAATTCGTGCTTAAAGATGCTAAAATTTTTATGACTGAACTTGTTGAAAAACTAGGTTAATATTTTTTGATTTCTTTTTCAAGTTTTTTATAAGTGGTTCTTTTATCAAAACCAATTTTCACATATTAATATCCAAATTTTTTGAGCTAAAATAAATTTTCAAGGAGACAAATAAATTAATCATTGTTTTTAGAAAAGAATAAATTTTTTTATTATAAAAAAGAAAAGATATAAATAAAATTCCCTCTTTTATTTATTAAAAATAAGCATTATTTTATTTACTTCTCAACGCTTATTTTTCAAACGTAAAATAACTCAATAAATTCACTTGATTTCCTTTTTTTATTAAAAAGAAATAAGCAATTTTATATTTGATTTTCCAATGTTTATTTTTTTTAAGTTAATAGAATAATTACACCAAAAATATATTCTAAGAGCATGATATTTTTATTTATTTTAAAAAATAATATTTTGAATTTGCCTCTCGGATGTATTTTTTTAACGTAGTAAAAATAATATTTATTTTTTTTATATAGTAAAATAAAAATGCAGGAAATTATTCATAATAACAAGGGAAGCAATTTCCTTGCTTCTATGAATACTCCGTCACTGACGTATTCTAAGTTTAGGTTTGGTTCATTTTAATATGTTGGATCATTTAATAATATAATAATAACTAATTATAAATAGAATATATACAATTTTTTAATATAATATAACTATTTTTTTCATATAATAGATACATATTGATTTTTCATTATTTTGCTTAACTAAATGAAGGAAATTACAATAATAAATTATTTAGTGCCACCCGCATATAATATTTATTAAAAATAATCTTAAATTGAAATTTCAAAATTGGTGGCCATTTTGAAAAGGTTGAGCTTTAACACCCACCTATCTAACCATCTATACGGGGGAAGAAGATCATATAATATTTTTGTAAATTATTGCATTATTTATTCAAATTAATAATACACTATCTATCCTTAATTACAATCCTCATATATAAAAAATTAAGAAATATACTAAATAACAATATATATATTCACTGTATTAATTTAGTTATAATATATATTTTATTAAAACTCGTTGCTCTAATATAGATATTATTTTTTTGATTTATATGCGAATGATTTTTTATTATTATTATATTTTAAAATATAGAACTTAAACAGATAGCAAATTTTAAAAAAGCATAAGAGATATATGATATAATGTGCAAAACTTTCTTCTCACTTGAATAAATTGAAACAAGTGATTTATCCTTAAGCGAAAGGATTCTCACTTTCATTATCAAACTTTAATTGGCACCTAGCCCAATTACCCACTAAACTAGGTGGTATCGACTTGATCGCCTTAGAACTACTTCCCTATAACTATTTATCTCAAATCGCCTATAGCTCAATTCTGCGATCTCATCATTCATAACTCCCAATCAGCAACTGAAAGATGGAATCTACTTACCCTAGACGGTTATATATTTCTAACCGACTCTAATAAATATATCATCTAACCCCTAATAAAGAAATTACAAAAGAGTCTTAACCCTCCCGATATTAGCGATATACAACTATTAAAATTTAACGATAAATACGGCGGGCATGAATGGCTCGAAGCACTTCCAAACCAAACCTTAGATAATCTCTTAACCAATGACCAACTAAGAGTTACTATAGGATTTAGACTTGGATGTTCAATTACATCATCCACACTTGCCACCAATGCAGCTTACCCGTTCTACCTAACGCCACACACGGCCTAAACACTGCACCAGCAGCCAAGGTCGCCATCTCAGGCATAAAGCAATTAATAAAATCATCCATAACTTTTAATAAGGCTAAAATACCCAACTATCCTTGAACATACCAACCTCTCATTACAGGACGGCCTCAGACCTCTCGGTTTAACCTGCACCCCAGTGGCGTAGCTAGGAATTTTCCTTAGAGGGGGTCCATATATATAAAAGCCTGGGAGGCTTTGCCCCCCAGACCCTCTTTAATATGTTATTACTAGTAGATAGGCCGTCAAAAATGACGAGGAATGAGAATTTTCTTCCTATATTTAACCTAGATGTTACCTGTTATTTGAAAATTCTATCCAATTTTATACTTTATACCTCCCCCTCCCTTCAGACCAGGTTCAATCCATTAAAACTAAGACTAAATACTTAGAGTAGGAATAAATTTAAAGCTTTTACTTGATAATATCAATATGTCATATGCGTAGCCAGGGGGGGGGGGCAAGGGGAAATTCCCCCTCCCCCTTCAGAAATTTATCACTTTTTGTAAATATCATTTTTAGCTAATAAAAAATATCCCCCTTAGTCCTCCCCCTACTCCCTGACCCTCAAATATGTATGCATATATCTTAAATAATAATTTGAAAGAAAGAATGTAAAAGTTGATATTTTTTTATAAAACTATTCATCATAATTTATAGATTTTTGGGAAAATAAATTTATAAATATATAAAATGAACCAAAAATGTTTTTTAATAATTGGAATATAAGCCAAAGATAAGTCTTAAGATAGAAGTGAAATGTATTATAATTATTAATAATAGATCCATAAAATTACTAAATAATATAATATATCAAATATAATTTTTTATAAACTGAGTAATTTTAATTTATTTATCATAATAAAAGTAAAATATAATTATAAAACTATTGATAAAATTAAATCATAAATTAAAAAAATATTAAAGCACAATACAAACAGTGGAATATTATATGTCGTAGATTTACATTATATCTAATTATCAAATGACAATCAAGTAATTTTTACCAATATAGCGAATTATATATTTTACAGAAAACTATAAAATATTGATAAGGACATCAGAAAATATCTTAAGACATTGTATAATGAATAATATGAAGATTAAATTTTAATATCATTTTTACTT